ACCCACTAGAGGGTCAGCTGTGAGTCAATTCTGACTTGATGGCAAAGAGAGAGGCTCTTTTTTTAGCAAAAAGGCAAAAAGGATCATTTTTAGCCTTTCCTTTGACCCAGTCTACTATGTGTCTATTATCTATTAACTAATATTTTATTCTCTGTCCTCTCCCTTCACTCCTGTCTTTGGTAATGATCAGAGGATAATTCATTCTGTTTGTATGACATTTTAAAACTCTTTTATAATATTTGACTCATACAGCATTTGTCTTTTTGTGCCTGGTCTATGTCTATTTCCCTTAGCACAGTGAGCTGCAGGCTCACCCATGTTCTGTGGATCCCTAGTTCTTCTTTATTTAGCATTCCATTATATGTATATGCCACACTTTGTTTATCCACTTGTCTGTTGATGGGCATTTGGATGGTTTTCATCTCTTTGCTATTGTAAATAACACTGCAATGAGCATGCGTGTACATGTATCTGTTCATGCCCCAGATCTCACTTCTTTGGGTCACAGCTAGTAATGGGGCTGAATCTAGTGATATTTCTATTTCCACCTTTGTAAGGAGGTGCTAAGACAGCTGCAGGGTTTCTTATTACAACTTATTTCTTTGCTCAAGAGGCTGTAAACTCCAACTCTGGCTCAAGTGTGCAGGAAAGAACTCATTTTCAAGCTTCACACAAAAGTTTGAGAACATCAACCACTTTCTTCAGAAATGTTAGCTGCTTGTGGCTAAGAAGGAGGCAGGAGATTAAGATTGTGGGTCCTAAAGGCCTAAAATTATAGCCAATTCCCACTCTAAGGGGCCAGGGAGATGCTTTGGAGTCCACTGGGAGGGACCTACCAGTGTTAGGCACAGCAGAGGATATGAGTGACTGAGGCTAACCTAGAATTTGAATTCATTTTGTGGTGTTGTAAAATGCCATTGAGTTGACTATGACTCAGCGTGACCCTATGGATAACAGATCAGAACCTTGTCCTGTCCTGTACCATCTTCATAAGTTCCTTTATGCTCAAGTCTATCGTTATTACCTAGTGGAAAGTTTCTCTTTGGAGGCTAGGATTTTGAAGGTCCATCTCACATACTTTAGCCGCATGGCCAGGAAAGACCTGTCCTTGGACAAGGACATCATGCTCGGAATGGTGGAGGGACAGCACAGGAGAGGAAGACCTCAGATGAGATGGATTGATACAGTAACTGGGGTAATGGGGGTTGCTGTGTTGTAATTATCGAGACTGGCTCAGGACAGGGAAGGGTTCAGAGCTGTTTGCTTTAGGTTACAGGCGACTCAAAAGCATATAACAACAATAACATATTGGGTTTTTTTTAATTAATTTTTTAATTTAAGCCTCTTGTTTAGAGTCAATAAGACCTTGTGGAAGACCTTTATACTTAAAACTCGGTTGTTAATATATTTTGGAGGAACATTCTTCTAAGTGGTATAGCACTGGTCTGTCCATTTGCTGTATTTAAATAACCTGGGTTTGCTGTGATGCTGAGTCTTGTGCCATTGGGGCGTCAAATGCCATAATGGTTACCCATGGTGAACAGTGTTTGGTGGAGCTCCCAGATTAAGACAGGTTTGGAAACAGCAATGGCATCCACTTCCTAAACAACATACCTCTGGGGAATCCTATGCAGTTTGAGAAATGATGACAGTTATAGAAAAGTTTCAGGTCTTTTGTTCATATGGTTGCAATGAGTTGTGCTTGACTTGACGGCAATCAACAACAAACAACACTAGTAAGAAGTTGTGCTATAATCCCAAAGACATGGGGTTTGGGTCCACCAGTGCTCTGTAGTAGAAAGATGGGATTTACTGCCTCTGAAAAACCCCACCAGAGAATCTGCTACGAGTCATTTATGACTTGATGGTACACAGCACCAGCAAGGGACTAGCGGATCAGGAGAACCTTGGCTTCCATAACTCAAAGACCTATACCAACTGCTCTGTAGGGACCACTATAAAATAGGTTCTGGATAGAGTTGGGGACAATGTGACACAAAACACAAAATCATGAGACTGATCATGCTCTCTGGTCTCATCTAGACTGTGGAACCCTCAAGACTGAGGCATTTATTCACACCTTGAAGCTGAAACCAACCCCGTGGCTCCATGTCAATTGAACAGGTGCTAGGCTTATAAAGTGAAGGATAATACACTCCTTACAGCAATCAGTAGAACGAGCCCCAAAGGGAAGCATTGGCCCAGAAACAAAGTTCAGAAGGCAAGCGAGGCTGAGAAGCAGGGAGAAGGGATGAGCATGGTCACATGGTGGTGACTGCAATCAGTGTCATGACACAAAACGTGCAGAAATTGTTAAACTGGAAGCAACTTGCTCTGCAAACTTTTACCTAAACCACAATGAAAAGTTTAACAAATTTCCAGGCCAGTATTAATTCTGAAGTTCTTATCTATGGACAAAGTACGCTATCACTTGCCATCAGGTTGTCTCCAATTCAGAGTAACTCCGCATGTGTGGAGTAGAAATGTCCTCCTTGGGGTTTGTAATGCTGTGACCTTTCAGAGGCAGACTGCTATTCCTCTGAGACATCTCTGAGTAGGTTTGAACCACTAACCTCTTGATTAGTATTAAGCACCATATCATTCGTACTACCCAGGAGCTCAGGGAAATGTACCTGCAGGGTTTTGTTTCAGCATACCACTTCCTTCTCATCATTATGTGTCTTTCTTATTATGAAGGTGAGAGAAGGATGGACAATCTCTTCCCATGTGATTAACCACTTCTGAAAGCCGCTGGAGGGTCATTTATGGGTCAGAACAGCCCTGGTGACTTAATATCAATGTATCAAGCTGTTAACCAAAAAAATTGGCAGTTTAGACCCAAAAGACGCTCTGAGGGAGAAAGATGGGCTGCCTCCTTCTGCAAATATTTATGGCCTCCGAAACTCGGTGGAGGATTGCAGAATTGGAACCAACTAGGTAGCACTGGGTTTGGGTTTTTTCCTTCTTGTCAGTTAGTTGTATTTGCAAAAATGGACATTTTAATTTCTTAATTACTTATTTTCCATCAGAAAACACACACTGAGCATATCATCCCCTGGAAACTAGTGCCGTGATGACTGCATAGTAAATCCTCTGCAAATATGGGTGAGTATTTCTATTTGCCTTTGGGAAGTTGTAAGTGAAATTAGAAATAGGACCACCTACCAAGACATTATAGAAACCCTGTGCCAGGGCTCACTTGAGTAAATAACTACCAAGTATTTTTCAGTTTTGAGTTGATGCATGACAGACATCATACTTGGTTTTCTCCATGAAACCACTAGGTCCTCTGATGTCATTATCTTTGGTGTACTGAATGAGGACATTGTTAGCCGCTGTCAAGTTGGCCCTGACTCATGGGGACCTCAAGTATAACATCATCAGACCATTGTGATTCATAGATTTTTCATTAACTGATCTTTGAAAGTAGTTTACCAGACCTTTCTTCGTAGTCTGTCCTCGCTTAGAAGCTCTGCTGAAATCTGTATCACAGCAATAAACAAGCCTCTACTGATAGACAAATGCACTGGCTGGGAATTGAACTCAGGTCTCAGACCTGGAAAGTGACAATTCTACCACTGAACTACTGCTATTGCCCCTGCTCTATGATTACAGTGACTGAACTACACAAGTTAACTCAAGACGTCTTTAGGGATAGAGTGAGTTTCCAGAAAAAGGAAGCATCCCTGTTAAGTGTAATATTTGAAACAATTTGCCCAATTTATTGGAGTCTAACAAATTAAACTCTATAAAGAAACCTACCTGAAAAGAATATTTTGCTTTAAAAGTATTTTAGTTTTTAAGAAGGTCATTGTCAAACTAATCACAGAGGGTAACAGATACATTTTACCCCTAAAATACCTAGATTTAAAAAAAAATATGTGCACTGGAGTCCCTGGGAGTTAAAAACAGAAAATATACTTGAAACTGAGAGGCCAGAGGTTGGAGTCCACCCAGAGGAGCCTTGGAGGAAAGACCTGGCTATCCATATAAAAAAAATCTGCCAGTGAGAATCCAATATTCCACCTTTCTCCACTGATACTCTGAGTCAGAGTCACTCAGCTGCCTGAGCCACCTGTGTAACTGTTGTTTTTGTTTGTGTGCACTGGTTAAATTCTGCCCTGATAACAACTGGAATTAATAAGTGAATAAAAGATTTACCACATCTTCAAAGAAAGGGAATATTCTTGAATACGACCTTAGCACCTTAGCTATGTGTTGGATGTTAAACAAACACAAACACATGTCATGTTAACTTTCAGAATGAAAAGATAATTGAAGAAAACACTATCAATGTAAACATCAGCTGAAAATACTTTGAAATATGTTGTATGTATGTCATCAGGCTTCCAAAGATACAGTTCTTTACAAAAGAAAACTGCTCAGTTTTGTCTCACAGAGTGGCCAGTGCATTTGAAGCATTGCCCTTTCACTTAGCAGCCCAATGCTCTAGGCACTATTTTGCCAGAGGCCAATCCCTAGAGAAGGGTGTCATCTTTAGAAAAGCAGAGGGTTTGTGAGAGAAAGAAAGGTGAACACAACGGCGGACGTAAGCGTTGGTTGAGACTGTGAGGACGGTACAGGGTTTTGTTCTGTTGTACAGAGAGGGGTGTGTGTGTGTGTGTATGTGTGAGTGTATGTACATACATTTCAAAGGAGCCACACATGGTTTCGTGCTCAGCTGCTCCCTGAAAGGCTGGCAGTTCTAATTCACACAACAGTTCTGTGAGAGAAAGACCTGGCTAGCTGAGCAGTTCTCTGCTATCACCTGGGGTTACAGTGACTTGGCATCAATGTGACAGCACCTAGTAACGACCATAATCTATATACGTACACACATACATAAGCGCTCACATGACAGCATTGTTTCTATGCATCTAGCAAAGTCATCTAACAAGGGGCAAAGCCCATTCATAGACAGTGAATGGTGAAATGTCCCAAGCCCAGCCCCCTGAGCCACCCCAGCCTCTGCCTGGCCGGCTGCCTCAGGCCCCACTTACGCTTGTTGGCTTGCAGCTTCATCTCGTCCACAGGCATGAGGTCCAGGTAGTCCAGGTAGTATTCGTAGCTGTAGTATGGGGCAGAGTGGTTGGTCGTGTTGGCCATGTCAGCAGCTGGAACCCACAGGCTCGTCTCTGGGACCCGAGGTGACTAACTTCCTAACAGACTTCCACACCCATCATCCAAGTGTGCTGTGGGTCTCTGCTCACTATCAAAGCTGTTTGGCTGGCAGAAAGGCCAGGAGGGTTGTGCCTGACATCCTTAGCACACAATTAAACTCTGCCCACTCATCCCTACTGAGAAAATGCCAAAAGAAACAGAGCTAAGAGTCAGTGGAACAAAAATCCAGCGCTGTTAGGGATTGCCCCTGTGCCTCTGAGAGTGGAAATGGAGATGAGCCTCTGGGGAGAGAAAATGCCAAATAGAGGTGGGGGGGGGGAAGATAACCACTTTTTGCTTTAAATAGTTAAAAAGTTAATGAAACCCCAATTCCAATGTGCCTGTGCCCTTGAATCACTTGAAGGCATTCCTTGGAGATATGAAGCAACCAACACATCTCTGGCTTGGATTTCCTATGAATAATGTCAGCCCTGAACTTGGTAACCTTGCTCATGCACACACATCCAATTAATTAAAACCAAAAGGCCCTCTCCTGGCCCCAGAATTGAAGGCGCCGCTCGGCTTTTATCTAGGTCTCCATTTGTTCAGAATGAAGGGGCTGTTTGTCTGGGCTGAGCTCCCACATAGACTGAGACCTTGAGAAACAAGAGTCCAGCGGTTCATGGGGTGCTCGGCTGACGTCGAGTGCAATGAAGGTTCTGGGTGGCTGGGCTCCAACTCTTCTAAGCACATGGACTGTACCAAGAAGAACGGCACTGGAGGGCTGCAGCTCTTTCACATTCTGGGTGTGAGGTCTGCAAATAAACAATGACATTAGTGAAAACCAATCCTGACTCACCGCAACACCACACATGGTAGAGCTGAACTCTGCTCCGATGGGCTTTAAAACCTGAGGGTTTGAAACAGAGCTCCTGGACTTTTTTTTTTTTCTGTGCCTCTGGCTGGACTGGAACTACCAACGTTTTGGTTAACAGCTGAGTGCAATAATTGTTTGCAGCACCCAAGGACTACCAAATGTGAAAGGAGAACGGGCTTTACAGGAAGTGATTGTCTGTCTCTCTCCCACAGATTTGAACCCCCAGAGAGGGGGCAGCTGTTGGAGTAACTCGCTACAAAGGACACAACCAAGGCTCCTGTTTGGGAAGTAAGAGTCAAAATGCACAGACCAATGGACTCCTTCCCTCCAAAATATCAACTTTCTAGTGTTCGTGAGTCAGGTCTACCCTGCCAGTGGAAAGCTGGTCATTGCCAGTATAGACAGCTGACTCAGATAACAGAAGCTCCCTGCTGGCTTTGACCCTATGCCCCAAGCTTGCTGTGCCCGAGACTTATTGTGAGGACCTTTCTCAGGAGACTCAGTTCATGAGAAGAGAGGAATGAGAGATGGAGTGTCCAAAGTAAAGGGGTGAGAAGTCTTTCCATGTGTCTTGCCCATTTTGTAAATTAGATTATCAGTCTTTTTCTTGTAGAGGTTCCAGAGTATTCTGTAAACTTTTGTTATGAGACCCTTGTCTGAATGGTATTTTCAAATGTTTATTCTCAGTTAGTAGGTTTTCCTTTCACTCTGTGGGGAAAAGCTTTGGGTTTTTTTAAAAAAAAATTCTCTACTAGTTTATTCACAAATTTCAAATACACTGTTTTCAAGAACAGATTTTTTTCTATTTCCCTCATTCCCAACAAATTGTAAAACCCGATGATTAATCCCCCTTTGCCCCCCGCACATCCTCATCCCTCTGTTTCCAACCTCTCCCACCCCTCTTGGATCCTTATACTCATTCTACAATAAATGGTTTTATACAATATTTGTCCTTGTGGGACTGAGTTAGTTCACTCAGCATAATGCTTGGGGAAAAGTCTTTGATGAGCACAGGGATTTAATCTTTAAAAGGTCCCATTCATCAATTGTATCCTCTTCAGATTGTGCATTTCTAGCTGTATCTGGCAATCTCTTTATACTGTAGACTAGGGCTTCTAAGCTTAATCTCAGTTTGTCTCTTAGAAACTTTGTGGTTTGGAGCTTTATAAGACCATTATTATAGAATGAGTATGAGGATCCAAGGAGGAGGGGGGAGCTTAATCACAGGGTTGCACAATTTGATGGGTGGCAGGAGGGGTGGATAAAGGAAAGGGGAAAGATCCAGTATGAAAAACAGTCCAAATGTCCAATCACAAACGAATGGATTGAGAAATCATGGTATGTTCACACAATGGAATGCTATGCAGCACACAGGAGCAATTACTTTGTAAATGACTACCTAAATTGGGAGGGACTGGCTAGCATTATGCCAAGTGAACTAACTCAGTTCCCACAAAGACAAATATTGTATAAGATAGTTATTGTATATATGAGCATAAGGATCCAGGAGGGATGGGAGAGGCTGGAAGCAGAGGGATGTGGATGTACAGGGGTAAGTGGGATTAATCATTGGATTGTACAGTTTGATGTGGGGGGTGGGGTGAGGGAAATTGAAAGAATTTGTTTTAATTTGTATTGCAGTTTTGTAAATAAACTAGTGGTGGGGGGAAGAAAGAAAAACAATGTATATGAACTTTGTAAGTAAACCAATACAAAATTTTTAAAAATAACAAAGTAAGGGGATGAAAGATCCACTTCAAAGCCTCCTCCCCTCCTCTGCACATGCCTATAGGCTCCCAGACACACCATGATACACATGGCCCCCGAGTGTGCTTCCTTAAAGGGGCAGCAGAGCGGGGTGACTAAGAACCTGATGCCAGGGCTGCACTGTGTGTCTTCAAGGGACCAGAAACCTCTGCTGTGGGTTTTCCTCATTTGTGAAGCGACAGCAGCAGGAGCATACATCTCCCGTGATATTTGAGCAGTTTATATCTAGAGGACCATGCAGCATGCTTACAGAGGTGCCTTGACCATAGACTTGTAGCTGAATGAATTCCAACTCATGATGGACTTCTGTGTGCGGAGTCCAACTGCTCCACAGGCTTTGCAAATCTGTGCCCTTTCAGAAGCAGATTGCCAGGTCCGGGTGGGTTTGGTATGGTTTCTTTGGGATGTATTCCTGGTAGTGGAAATGCTGGGTCAAATGGTATTTCTACTTGCAACTTTTTGAGAAAGCATCATATTGCCTTCCATAGTGGTTGCACCATTTTACACACACAACCTCGCCAGCATTTGTTGTTTTCAAAATATTTCTTAACACACATTGAAGGCCAAAAGAGTTGACAGAATGCTGGTCATAGAGAAATGTAACTAAGAAGAAGCTCATTTTCAAGACTGGCAGAGACTTTGCTGATAGAAAGATGCAGGTTTTACATTTTTTTTTAAAAAAAACAACAATCACGGTAGAAGACATTCAGATGGTTAATAAGCACATGAAGAAATGTTCAAAATCCTTAGCTCTAAGAGAGATGCAAATCAAAACAACTATGAGATATCATCTCACCCCAGTCAGAATATAAAAATTTAACAGAACAGCAAACATCAAATGCTGGCGAGGTTGTGGAGAAACTGAAACCCTTATTCACTGTTGGTGGAAGTGTAAAATGGTGCAACTATTGTGGAAGGCAGTATGGCGCTTTCTCAAAAAGTTACAAATAGAGATACCATTTGACTCAGCAATTCCACTACTGGGAATATACCCCAAAGAGACCATAACTGCCACCCAAACAGATATATGCACACTAATGTGTATCGCGGCTTTGTTCACACAATAGCAAGGAGTTGGGAATGACCTAAGTGTCCATCAACAAACGAATGGATAGAGAAGCTGTGTTATATTCACACAATGGAATACTATGCTGCATTGGAAAAACAGGGAACTCATGCAATATATTATTCAGAATGGGTGACCCTGGAGGACATTATGCTGAGTGAAGTATCTCAGTCACAAAAGGACAAATACTGCATGGTGTCACTGTTGTAAAACAGGACTGACATCGGGGTTGGGAGGAGACCGAGAAAGATGAGTTCATACTGTATTGAAACAGATGAGGGAGAAAATTGTTTAAAAGGGATATGTGATTAGGTATTTCTGTGATGACAGGAGTCCAGAGTGAAGGCTGCCAAGGGGAGTGCACCTGGGGAGAGGGAGGGATTGTAAAACAATGAAAGAATTTTTCTTTTACTTTCCCAAGAGGGTAGTGTACTGGGGGGGGGGAGGGTTGGGACGGGAGAAAAGTGCAACAATGAATGAATAGAAATCCAAAGTCTCTGTACATTTCATCGAAATTAATAATAAATTTAAAAAAAAAGATTAACAAGCAAGAAAAAAAAAGAACACGATTACCTTTATTTCTTTATGGTTTTGTATGTGAAATAGATTTTTCTTGAAACGAAAAAAAAAATCTACCACAAAACAATTATACTATTAGTTTACCTGAAGGTAGGCCGTAGCTGTTTTTATATTTTAGTGAGAAATATTTAATTTAGTTGAATTTTTTTATTTGCATAAAAGTTTACAAATTTTATTGATTTTTTAATTCAATCATATGCATTTTGTTTTGAAACATCAATTATAAATTATTAATGTATTAATGAATTACACTATTTTATCAACCCCTTCTTGCCTTCCCCTTCACCCAGCTTATTTGTTTATTACTTTTCACTCCTTTCTCCTTCCCTCCCTGTCCAAGAATGATCCTATTTCTGGATAACTCTTTCTGGACTCTATTAAGAAGAATGTGATATCAGGGTTGGAGGAAGACTCATCAGTAGCCTTTGTTATGCAGATGACATAACTTTGCTTGCTGAAAGTAAGGAAAACTTGAAGCACTTGCTGCAGAAGGTTAAACACTACAACTGTTGATATGGATTTCATCTCAACATCAAAACACCAAAAATTCACCAATAGACTGACAGGCAACATTATGACAGATGGAGAAAAGATTGCAGTTGTCAATGAATTCATCATGCTTTGATCCACAAGCAACACCTTTAGTACCAGCAGTCAGGAGACCAGGAGACATATTGCATGTGGAAAGTCTGCATTCAGGGAACTCTCCAAATTATTGAGAAGCAATGATGTCATTTTGAGGACTAAGGGGTGCTTGATTAAGTCCATAATCTTTTCAATCACATGAGAGCTAGACTTCAACCATTTGAGAGCTGGACAACAAATAAGGATGGCAAAAGAAGAATTGTGCTTTTGAGCCGTGGTGTTGGAGAAGAGTACTGAATATCCATCCCATGGCCTGCCAAATAAACAAACAGATGTATCTTGGAGAAGGTGTAACCAGAGTGTTTTTTGGAGGCAAAAATAACAAAGCTTTGTTTCACATCATTTAAACATTTTTGTAGGAGAGGCTATTCCTTGAAGGGGGACATCATGCTTGGAAAGGTGGAGGGTCAGACCTTCAATGAGACTGATTTACACAATGACTATAACAATGGGCTTAAGTATATTAGAAATGGTAAGGATGGCATAGGATAGGAGAGGGTTCAGATCTGTGGTTCAAAGGTTCAGTATAAGTCATATCAGACTCAATGGCACCTAACAATAACAACAACCACACTGTCACCAAGGAATGCTAAATTTAGTCTATGGAAGTTTAAACAGAAACAATATAGATGAAAGAAGTTTGAACAAGTTTGTATTAATTACACAGAAAAGAACACTAAACTTACTACAAACCTCCTCCCCTAAAAAAACTTCTCCAAGCCCAGCTGAAAATTATCCCAAGATGACTGGAAGAGCACATCAATCAGCAGAAAACTGCCAGATGTACAGGCTGGATTTAGAAGAGGCCATGGTACTATGGATATTGTAGCTAATGTTAGATGGATCTTGGCTGAAAGCAGAAAGTACCAGAGGAATGTCTGTCTGTGTTTCATTGACTATGCAAAGGCATTTGACTGTGTGGATCATAACAAACTGTAATTATGTCTGAGTAGAATGGAAATCCCAGAACAGTTGATTGTGCTTGTACGAAACTTATATTTGGACCAGAAGGCAGTTATCAGAACAGAGCAAGGAAACACTATGGTTCAAAATCAGGGAAGGTGTACGCTATGGATGTGACCAATCTCCATACCTTTTCAATCTCTATGCAGAACAGAGCATCTGGGAGGCTGAGCTCTATAAGAAGGAATGTGGTATCAGGATTGAAGGAAGATTCATCAACAACATGTGTTATGCAGATGACACAACCTTGCTTGCCAAAACTGAGGAGGATCTAAGGCATTTGATGAAGAAGGTCATGGATTACAACCTTAAATATGGATTGAAGCTCAACATCAGGAAAACAAAGATTCTCACCACTGGGCCAATTGGCAGCATCATGACAGATGGTGAAGAGATTGAGATTGTTAACAGCTTCAGTTTGCTTGGCTCCACAATCAGCACACTTGGTACCAGAAGCTAGGAAATCAAAAGACAAATTGCATTGGGAAAACTTGCTGTCAGGTATCTCTTCAGAGTACTGAAGAGCACAATGTCAGTCTGGAGATGAAGTGTGCCTGATTCAGGCTGTGGTCTTCTCCATTACTTGCTATGCATCAGAAAGCTGGACAATAAAACAACTATGAGATATCATCACACCCCAATAAGAATAGCAAAATTCAACACAGTAGCAAACAACAAATGCTGGTGAGGTTGTGGAGAAACTGGAACCGTTATTCACTGTTGTTGGGAGTGTAAAATGGTGCAACCACTATGGAAGGCAGTATGATGCTTTCTCAAAAAGTTGAAAAGAGAAATTATTTCATTTGACCCAGCAATTTCACTGCGGTGAATATACCCTAAAGAAACCATAACCACCACCCAAGTACATATGCACACCCATGTTTATTGCTGCTTTGTTCACAATAGTAAAGAGCTGGAAACAACCCAACTGCCAGTCAACAAATGAATGGATGGAGAAGCTGTGGTATATTCACACAATGGAATACTACGCTGCATTGAAATACAAGGAACTCATGAAATATACAAAATGGGTGACCCTGGAGGACATTATGCTGAGTGAAATATCTCAGTCACAAAGCAGAAATACTGCACAGTGCCACTATTGTAAAATAGGACTGACATTGGGATTGGGGGGAACCTAAGAAAAGAGGGTATAAATAATGTATACCTAGTTGAAACAGATGAGGGAGAGAACTGTTTAAAAGGAATATATTCTTAGGTATTATTTTCATGTACATGGGAAGGGTGCACGTCAGGGATGTGTCCTGTCTCCATACATTTTCAACCTGTATGCAGAGCAGATTATCCGAGAGGCGGGGCTCTATGAGGAGAGGCGTGGCGTTAGGATTGGTGGAAGATCTATCAACAATCTGCGTTATGCAGATGACACAACCTTGCTCGCTGAAACTGAGGAGGACCTCATGCACTTACTGCAGAGGGTCAAGGACTGCAGCCTTCAATATGGACTGAGGCTCAATGTCAAGAAGACAAAAATTCTCACCACTAGACAAATCGGTAGCATCAGGATGGATGGCGAAGAGATTGAGATTGTTCACAGCTTCAGTTTGCTCGGCTCCACGGTCAACACTCTTGGCACCAGTAGCCAGGAAATTTAAAAAAACGTATTGCGATGGGAAAGTCTGTGGTTAAGGACCTCTCCAAAATACTCAAGAGCAACAGTGTCTCTCTGGAGACTAAGGTCTGCCTGATACAGGCCATGGTTTTTGCAATCACTTGTTATGCATCAGAGAGTTGGACAATGACTAGGGAGGATAGAAGGAGAATTGACGCCTTTGAGCTGTGGTGCTGGAGAAGAGTATTGAATGTACCATGGACTGCCAAGAAAACAAACAGATTCATCGTAGAGAGGATTAAACCAGGCTGCTCCTTGGAGGCAAGGATTCTGGGGCTTCGTCTGACATACTTTGGACATGTTGTAAGGAGAGACAGGTCTTTAGAGAGAGACATCATGCTGGGTAGAGTAGAGGGACAGCGCAGGAGGGGAAGACCCTCTATGAGGTGGATTGATTCAGTGACTGGGGTACTCGGGATGGGTGTGTCAGAGGCAGTGTGATTGGCACAGGATAGAGCAGGGTTTAGGGCTGTTGTACAGAGGGTCGCTATGAGTCACAAACGACCCGATGGCACATAACAAACAACAATTATTTTCATGACAAGATTCCAGAATAAGAAATGCATAGTAAAGTGGACTGTGACTTGGGGGCAGGGGGGAGTAGGGGATTGTATAACAATGAAAGAACTTTTTTTTTTCTTTTCAAAGAGAAAAGTGAACTGGGAGAAGGGGTGGGCAGGGAGGAAAATGTGCAACAATTAATGAATGAGAAAAAAATGTCTACAGGTAGAAAAGAAAAAAGTAATCTGGATAATGACTAAAGATGATAGAAGGGGAATTGATATCTTTGAGTTCTGGTGCTGGAGAAGAGTGTTGGCTATACCATGGACTGCTAGGAGAACAGGTTTGTCCTGGAGAGGGTGGAAACAGGCTGCTCCTTGGAAGCAAGGATTCTGAAGCTTCATCTGACATACTTTGGTCATATTGTAAGGAGCGACCAGTCCTGGAGAGGGACATCATGCTTAGGAGGATGACGGGACAGAGTAAGAGAGAAAGACCCTCAATGAGATGGATTGACTCAGTGTCTGGGGTAATGGGGGTAGGTGGGTCAGAGACAATGGGATTGACTCAAGATAGAGCAGGTTTCAGAGCTGTTGCACAGAGGGTTGCTATGAGTCACAAGCAACTAAATGGCACATAACAACCTTGCCATGTTATCCACACTGTCCAATATACAATTTTTTAAAATCACTTAAGATGAAAAAACAGTGGAGAATGTGACCTCGGTTTATAAGAAGTGTGTGGTATTGGGTATCTGATGGTTGAATTCTCACATTCCATGAGAGAGAGCCGGTTCAATGCCTCACCAATACATTTCTCATGTAGTTATCTTTAGTCTGTCAGTGGAGGTTTGTGTATTTCTATGAACCACTTTCATCAAAGCTTCCAGGATAATATGGACTAGAAATAAATGCCTGCTGATCTACTTCTAAGAAAAGGCTAAATGCCTGCTGATCTACTTCTAAGAAAAGGCCAGTGAATACTCTATGGGGCACAACCGTCTAATCACCAGTCCCTCAGATGATCGTGGCGATCGTGGCGATCGCGGGCAGCGTGTCGCTCCATTGTACACGTGCCACCAAAGGTGAGGGGCCAGTTCAAAAGTCCAAAAGCAACAGGTTAGACAAAATGAAGTTGATAAAACCAACAGCTATTAGTGAACCAGATGTTAGAATTCGCAACCAAAGACCTTAAAGAAAACATTATTGTTAGGTGCTGTTGAGTTGAGTACAACCCATATCTACCCCATGAACAACAGACCTGAAATTACCCTTTCTGAAAAATGGGAAAATGATATTTCAAAAAGCCATGAACATTCTGTGTGATGTGTGGGATATCAGTCTTCTATATGAGGGCAAGATAAAAAAAAAAGAAGAAAGAAGAGAAAGCTAAAATTTGAAAAAAAATTTAAATTTGGCTGAAAATCCCCAAATTCACTATATTTAGGGTTCTGGGGTGGTTGATAATCCAAAATAGAAAGACAACCACACGCAGATACATCATGTTACTAAGAAAATTCAGTTCATCTGGAAAACATAACAATAAAAACTGCGTAAGTTTAATAACATTTCAAAACACATGAATTAAAACAAAAGTCAAAGCCACATAGTTAGAGATTTTTAACATTATTTTGCCAGTAGTTGGTAGAAGAACTGTATAAAAAAAGTCCCAAAAGAGAAAAACAATTCTGTTACCATCAAGATCTAACTCTTTACATTGAACACTATATCCAAAGGGAACCTCTGGGAGCCCAGCTGCCTGCCAAACTAGAGGCACGTGATTCGGATCCATCAGCTGCTCTGTGGAAGAAAGATGGGCAGTCTCCCCTTGTGCAGTTTACTGCCTTTGAATACCCTGTGGAGAGTCGGTTATGAGCTGATTCCAAATTAACAGCACACAATAACACCAAACATAGCCAAAACCTGCAGAATACATGTTTCAAATGTCATTTAAGGTTTTGAAGTGATTGTTTGCTGCTAGTGTCAGAAAACAAAATACATAGGAATGAAAAAGCTACATGTTATTACTGAGAGACATTTTTATATAATACATGAAGAACAACCATGTCAGTCTAGAGACTTAGGGACACCTGATTCAGACCCTGATCTTCACAATTGCTTGCGATGTGTCAGAGAGCTGGACAATGACCAAAGATGGAAGGAGAAGAATTGATGCCTTTGAGTTGTGGTGTTGGAGAAGAGCAGTGAACATATCATGGACTGCTAGAACAAACAGATTTACCTGAGAGAAGGTGAAATCAGGCTGCTCCTTGGAGGCAAGGATTTTGAGAGTTTGTCTTACATACTTTGAGCATGTGGCCAGGAGGTACCAGTTCTTGGAGAAGAACATCATACTCAGAAGGGTGGAGAGACAGCGCAGGACAGGAAGACCTCAGATGAGATAGATTGACACAGTAACTGGGATAATGGGGGTAGGTGTTTCGGAAACAGTGAGTTTGGCTCAGGATAGAGCAGAATTCAGAGCTATTTATTATACACAGTCACTATGAGTTGCAGGCACTCAATGGTACATAACAATAACAGCAATATATTATGAAAATACATGAAACTAGAGAGATATATCATGTTTCAGACCCCTAGACCCCAAATTCATTGACATCAAATCTAGTTTGACTCACAGTTTGACCCTCCACTTTCTGAGGCTATGAATCGTTATAGGAGTCTGCCCATCTTTTTCCTCAGAGTGGCTAGTGGATTTGAACTGCAGATCTTTCATTTAGCATCCCACACATTGCATACTATACCACCTCCCTCTCTCTCTCTCTCTCTCATTGCCATCAAGTCATAACCTGACTCTCTGACAGGTTTTCAGAGGCTGTAAACAAAAAGGAAGGAGATTTCTCATCTTTCTCTCGAGAAGCAGTCAGAGGATTAGAACGATCTGCCTCTTTACCCACTAAATAATGAAGTTTCCTTATATTATGTTTGTGGATTGAAGAATACATTATTAAGATGAAAATTTACTTGAAATGCAGTACAATCTTAACCATAATTTTGTCAGCTTCTTAAAGCAAAAGTGTAAAAATATATACTGATAAATTATGTTGAACTAAGATAAAAAAGGGCGAACTCGCTCAGCATATCTTAAGCTCAAGGAACTGAAGAACAAATTCAAACCTCGAGTTGCTATAATCAAGGATGCTTTTGGCAGAATGTTAAATGATCCAGGGAGTATTAAAAGAAGATGAAAAGAATATACTGA